GGGGGGGGGGGGGGGGGGGGGTTGGATTATTTATAACAGTGTAATGCTAGTTACAGTGTCTTTATATTTCTCATGATCTTTATACAAACAGTTTGTTACAAACTTGCATGAAAATTCACCCTCAAAAGCAATTAGGTGAACTTCTCTGTTATAACATTTATTTATTTTCTCAGGCCTACCCCGGTCATTTACTGGATAAAAGAGGACGGCACGCTACCCACCAACCGGACATTTTATAGGAACTTTAAGAAAACTCTGCAGATTATTCAGGTTTCAGAAGCAGACTCCGGAAATTACCAGTGTATAGCCAAAAATGCATTAGGAGCAATCCATCATACCATTTCTGTCACGGTCAAAGGTATATAATTGTTTCAGATGTGTTGCTCTTGCCTTCATGAGAACTCGTAAATCTTCAGTTAAATATGCTTCTGATTATGTTCTTCAGTAGTAATAAGTGTAAATTTATATCAACATTCCCAATACCTTGACGCTCTTCACATTACTATTTATAATGCATCTCAAGCCGGTTAAAAATTCTCTCCCTCAAATCTTCCTCACAGAAGAATTCTGCTTCATAACTGTAGAAAGAATGAGGGAAATCGAAAATCGCCATTAAAATCCCACGGTTATAACTGCTGCAGGCAAGAGCCAGTAATGAAAGCTGAGATTAGTGGATAAAACTTGAAGGAGAAATAGGGTATCTGCATAGCCTCAAAGTGTTTCTTCTCACACACACCCCCCGAAACTTAATTACGGAGGGGGGTTTAACACATGTCCACAAATTCTTTAGCATTCCTTTGGGTAGGAGATGTAACTGAATTGCCCTGCCCTTGAGTGGGGGCTGAACTTAGTGACTCACTTTTAATAAATAGATTATGGAAAGCAGGTGGATAGTCACTTTCAGAGGAGACATGTGACAGACATGGCCTCAACCAAGTAAGCCAGGTTAACATAAGCTGCGAGAAGTCATGTTGGTGTCATGTATTCCCTGAAAGATGGGAATGACCCTCACCCCAAACCTCAGTGTAGAGAAAACGTCAGACAAACCCAAGTTGAAGGACATTCTACAAAACAACTGATCAGCAGTACTCTTTAAAAGAATCAAGGTCATGAAAGACCAGGAAAGACCAAGAAACTGGCAGATGGGAAGAGACTGGTAAGGAGACAGGATAAGTAAACACAATGTGGCGTCCAGGACAGGGTCCTGAGACAGAAACGAGGCATTGGTAGACGAACTGGAGAAATCCTAGTAGAGGGTGTAGTTTAGTTAATAGTATTGTACCGATGTTAATTTCTCGTGCTGATAACTGGACCATGGTTATGTAAGACCTCGCTAGAGAAAGCTGGGTGAAGGGCTCACGGGGCACTCTATACTGGCTTTGTGACTTCTCGAAAGTGGGAAGTCTTTTGACTTGCTTCCTGGTTTTATAATTAGGTGTATTCTGCAGGACTCAGAACTTAAATTCATGCTTCTCAACACGTCTCTGTACTGTAAATTGCTCTGCCTCTTTTGTGAAATCTGTTACCTCTTTCATGCCTGATGAATTTAATGTAAAACGAGATGACATTTATAGCACAAGGGTCTAGAAACAATACACAGTCGTCTGTGAATCTCTTTAAACATTCTTTTGAAAATCTCAAGTGTTCTTTGGGACATCGCTTACAAATCTATCCACTCTTAAGCAAATGAAGCCAATAGATGTTTTGCAAAATACTTATTCTTTATTATTAAAATAGTTCGACATACTAAATTTGCTAGAATACTTGCATGATTGAAAGTTTTGTGGGGTTTTTTTTTCTTTCCTTAATAAAGCGGCTCCATACTGGATCCTGGCACCTCAAAATCTTGTACTGTCCCCGGGAGAGGATGGGTCGCTGATCTGCAGAGCTAACGGCAACCCCAAGCCCAGGATCAGCTGGTTATCGAATGGCGTCCCAATAGAAAGTAAGTTTCCTCGCCTGGCTCTGGTGGTAGTCTCAGCGGGGAACACAGTGGGAGGGTGAAATACCGGTGGTTAAGGAAGGAAGCCGTGTACAGTTAACCGGTGGTTAAGGAAGGAAGCTGTGTGTGGTCTTCTTTTTTCCCCCGGCCTCACTCACCACCCACTGCTGCCTGCAGGAGACTGCACATTTTCCCCTTCTTGGAGTTCACACCTTCTCTTACACCCAGAGAGAGAGAGAGAGAGAGAGAGAATCAGCTTTTGTTTAAAACCCAGACTCAATGCTTATTTTATGACCTTCTGGTAGTCCTTAGGACCGAATAGTCTGTGCTCTTAACGTGATGCTGTGTGCTGATGGGGACTTGGCAATATTCGCCGTGTTCTATGTGGGCCCTACGAAGAACGACAGGGTCAGAAATAAACAGGACTGAAAAGCTCAGATTATCTTTTTCATTCAAAATGTCAAGTGGCTCAAGGAAATGTTGTAGGAGTCCAGGGAGATGCGGGGAAGGCTAGGGATAGAGCCGGGGGATGTGGCGAGAAGAAGAAACACAGCTGTTGTCATTTAGAGAGTTCCCATTCCTAAGCATAGCCGGGATGTTCCTAAGTTCTGTGGTCTTCAGAGGCTGTCCTGTTTAGAGCCCTTCAAAGAACAGGTTCCCCGACCGTGGTTGTATGCTGGACACTCCATCTTCGCTAAGTTTTCCCTCCCCAAGTATGCCGAGGTCACCTCGAGCAATACTGGCTGCTGTGTGCCACCTCGTGAGCCACCTTTCCTGGACCACTCCCGGCTTGCTCGCTCTCAAGCCAGCTTCCCTAGCCTGCCGCCGTGCCGCCCAGAACAGTCCCCCAGAGTGTGGCCACAGTCCTGTCCTCTGATCTTCTAGCACAGCAAAGGCCAGTTTTATAAAACCTGGTTAAAGGCTTGAAGATGAGAGAAGGCTTGAGGGTTATGGCAAAGAAAAAACAAACAAACAAACAGACTTAAAATGGATATTGTATCTCCTTGCTCACAGATTCCTTAGTCACAGGCATCCACAGACATCCCACTCGGTCTTCTTTTTTCCCCCGACCTCACTCACCACCCACTGCTGCCTGCAGGAGACTGCACATTTTCCCCTTCTTGGAGTTCACACCTTCTCTTACACCCAGAGAGAGAGAGAGAGAGAGACAATCAGCTTTTGTTTAAAACCCAGACTCAAGATCACCCTCCTAGCCAATAGTATAATAATCTGCAAAGATATTCTTAAGTTTATTTTTATTTATTTTGAGAGAGAGAGCAGGAAAGTGCAAGAGGGGCAGAGGGAGAGGGAGAGACAGAATCCCAAGCAGGCTCCAAGGCAGGGCTCGAACTCATGAACCATGAGATCATGCCCTGAGCTGAAACCACGAGTCAGACGCTTAACCGACTGAGCCACCCAGGCACCCATGAAATGATATTCTTGAGTCACAATGAAGACAACCTTCAGGCTTATGAAGTAGAACACCTTTGCTCCTCATTACCTCTGAGCCAGAATCAAAAATTTGTTCTACTTTTACTTGACCAAAAGGTCCATTAAACTGGCTTTCCTGAAAGAGTCTTCACCCTGCGATGGATCTGAGAGCTACCAGCAGATATTAAATGGCTTAGTCCCCATTTCTCACTATCAGGGTCTTACAACTGTGGGTCTAAACCAAGTAAGAGCTCCCCGTTCCATGCTGTTTATTAGGAATTTGTGTCACACTACACAGCACTTATCAGATACTCTAAAACAGACAGTCTGTGGTTACTGTAAAAGGAAGTATGTTCCAGGAAGAACACAGATTCTAAAGAGGCCAGGGGCTGGGGCTTGGATATTTCCACTCCCAGTTTTAACCACGATCAGGATCAGGAAGAAGTGCAGAGAGTACCTTGTGGTTGTGCATTGGGAAGCTGTTGCCAGGAGAGAAAACAGAGATGGTAGGCATACAGCCCAGACCTAAAGAAGAAGTTTTATGGTGCGGTATCTGATTTGCTCAGGAATGCATAAACAGTGGCAAGAAAGGACGGGGCGTGCTCAGTACTGTGACGGCACATCGTGCAGCTAGGGGGTTCTGTGCCCTTTACGGAAGGTTAACTGCACACCTGAGATCTGGCCTCAGGGGGACTGACAAGTGGCAAGGGCCGTGCATCTCACCCCCCAGCAGAAAAACCAGGGAGCTAGGGAAGGTTGGAAAGATAAACCCCTTCCTGATCCATGGTTCATAGTCCATCCAAACCTGCAACAGGCAGCGTCTCTCGGGGAGCCTTGTGGCTCCAGTTGTACTAAAGGCTTTGAAATTCACTCGTAGACACCCCTTTAAATGAGCTATCTGCGGGGAGCAGCAGTTGGGAAAGGCCTGCCTGGGGAGGGGAGGCGCAGGACGGCGGCCCTGAGATATAAGTTAGGCCCTCTAGAACCCCAGACCATCTGATTAGGTCCCGAGCAGAAAGAGTTAGAACAGAATCTCCCAAATCAGGTTCCAAATTAGTTCATTTCTTCCATCCCGAAAGTATGCATCAAGTCCCCACTGGAAGGACAGCAAAGTTAGGATCAAGATTCTATGGTGCCCACAGACCCAGGGTCCCCCGACCTCTGGCGTGCCTCAGAGCAGTCCCTCTGGTCCACAAGCGGGGAGAGACACCATGCAGCGTGGCAGCAAAGCAAGGGCCCTCCCTCACCCACCAGGCTGCCCCGCGGTGCCGGGAACAGGTGCCATATGCTTATACCAAGGTGATATGAAGTGTCTGAATGGTGGCTCTCTCCACATCTGGTGGCCAGGCTGAAAGTGCATGGGTCACTGTGTGGAATCTCATTGTTGAAAGGTGATGGCCTGAGGCACCTGGTGGGGACCCTCATAGCTCTCTGCACAACGATACTACAGGGCCCCCTTGTTCCCTACTAGCCCCCAGCAACTGATCCATCTCCCAGTTCTGCTGAGTCTTGCATAGCTAAGTTCAAAGCGAACCCTACGTGTCTCCACCTTGTGTTGCCCTCCCCTGATCCAACAGAAGGAGTATGTGAGGAAGAAAACTGTCAAGCAGTCGGTAGAAGTTTGAAGAGTTTTGTGCCTCTGCCCTTTCTATCCTGGTTGATAATTAGCCCATGAATCTGGAGGCCCCTAAACAGAATTGCCTTTGAGGTTTGGGAGCCATTCAGGACATGGGAGACGGGCTTCTTTCTCATCTGCAGCTTCTTGAGCTGTGCACCTGTAGATGCTTCCAGCAACGAGGGAGCGGTGGTGGGAGGGGGAGCGGTGGCGGAGAGGCCGGGTTGGCAAGGGAGAGCAGTCTGCTGCGGTATACGGAGGCACAGAATGGGCCTGGTGAGGATTCCTGACCTTCAAGGGGGCCTAGAATAGACCCCGGACATTAAATGGGAACATAGGCCATCTGGCAAGAACACCCTTCCACCTGAGAAGCTGCGGAAACCTTGCGGGGGGGTGGGGGGGTGGGGGCAGGCAGCTGCTGAGGGTGAGGGTCAGGGAACGGCCGTGTCTCTGCAGCATCATGCAAGGAGCTGTGCAGTGTCCCCACCAGGTGTGACACAACAGGGGACCACACTACCAGACACACCGCCTCCCCACTCCTGACTGTGGACAGTCACCTAAGGACAGTGATATCTCCTAGCTCAGCAGGCCCTGGCTGCCAAGTGCACATAGACCCTACAGAAGGAGAATCAGCGTCACGGAGAGGGAGGCGTAAGACTAGAGCTCTGTTAACAGAGTACTGCATTATCGATTTGTGACTGCATTTCAGAACTGGAATCTACTGTCTTAGAAAACTGGAAGAATTAACTCAGAAAAGTGTCTGGGGTCTAATCACAAACTCTTCCAAAGCCCTGTCCTCCCAGGACCGGCCAGGTTGCTTTAAATGTTCCTTGAAGCAAAAAACAAGACCAGACTAAGTATGGAATTTTCCTTAAACTACCTAAAATATTTTTTTTAAACAATCTACAGAAGTCAGAGCAAAGAACAGCAAAGTACAGAGCTGGCACTGGAAGAGATCTTTGATTTTATTGTGTGACCTGCAGTGTGTGGGAGGGTGTGAAAGTAGCACCCGGGACCAGGAAGACGACGTCCAAGGCCAAGGCCATGGACGATGTGAACCTGTCCCTGTCTTAAGAGTCAGCAGATGAGCCTAAAACATGTAGATCTTTAATCGTCCCCTATTTGAGTAGTGCAACAGCTCAGATTCTTCCAGATGGAGCACATACAAGATCTCACCATCATTGTTAAAAGGTCCCTTTTCTCTAAGGGATGAGGAGGGGAAGCAATGAAAAGAATGAGAGTAGACAGATCTCCTGTGGCCACACTTCTGTATTTGGGTGACATCAGACGGAGAGATTGAAAGCCAGGAGCACAGGAGAAGCTGCCAGGGGCATGGAGGCCTGGTCCAGGCTGGTCCCCAGATTCCACCAAGGCATCTCCCTTCTCCCTTTTCTCCAAAGTAAAGGGCTCAGTTGGCATTCCCTTCTGGGGGATGGAGTAAGCAGGCGAAGGAAAATCTCCATCATGGCCAAATGTTCAGATTTCAAGGAGATGTTTATAAAGTAGACGGACTCAGAAAATCTGAGCCGTCATCTCATGCTAAACCACCAGGTGCTCCAGTCTCTAATTTCTCTTCTCCAAAGTGCACGTACTTTCTAGTTAATCCACTGCATAAAGTTCTTTTTGAAATAAAATGATGCAATAGACACAAAACTATCTGTTAAATTGATAGTGCTCTCTACACATATGAGGTGGCAATAATTCTCATTCTCATTATGTAACTGCTGGAAGCATTTCTAGGTTTGGCCAGCTGTGTCAGGACAGTTGGAATAAAGGAATGTATTGTTGGAAAGATACCAGCCCAGTTCTGAACCTTATCTTCGGGGCTCTAAATTGTACATGAGGCCTCTATGCTCAAATGTCTTTCTTTGTTGTTCATTGATAGCAAAAGAAGTTGCTTATTCCCAGAATTAATTGTTATTCCTTGGGATACCTGGGGTTTGGTTGCTGGAGAGTTACTCCTATCCGGTAGCCAGCACACAGAATCCAAGGGCTTCCAGTATCTCTACACTAGCAATGTTCTTCTTTATCCAGTACCGACTGAGCCTCCATATGTCACCGCTACCGTTCCCGGGTTTGTTTGTGTTTGTTTAGTTAAAGTACTTAAGGAAAATGTAGCCCAAATCCCTGTGGCGAGATATTAGCTTATTCCCTACTCTTACCTAAAGGATTTATTTTATTCCTAAACACCTTGCCAAAAAATAAATATTTGAAGACTGCTCCATTAAGCAGCAACAAGGCAGGTACAGTCAGATGCCTTTCAGGTAAAGAATAGCATTGAGATGAGTTGACAGCCAATAAAAATGCAAGGGCGGGCTACAAAAACGCTTTTTAAAATGGTTTATGTTGTGATTCATGAGTTCCCACTGAGGGAAGATTGTCCTCCTGGCTTCGTTGGTTGAGCTGGTCTTCCGAGTTCGTGGTGATGTATTTTTATTATAGTTTAAAAAAAACAAACCATAACATAAAATTTACCATCTTAATCATTTCTAAGTCTACAGTTCAGCAGTGTTAAGTACATTCATATTACTGTTGAATAGACCTCAAGAACTTTCTCATCTTGCAAACCTGGAGCTCTATGCCCATTAAACATCACATGGTGGTGTAACTTTTAAGAGGTCCATACACTCAAGGAACGTAAAGAGCTCTCCTCACATATCCAGAGAGATTCAGGCCAGGGCTCTGCCCAAGCATCATCGCTGTCTGAAATGCCCAGACACTACTCAACCGGCCCCCCTGCTGCCTACAATGTCCGCCGAGGTGCCATCAGAATGGTGGGCACTGAGAGTCCCCCAGTGTGGCCCAACACTGAGTGCCCAAGTGCTGGGTCCAAAACTGCTGAGAATAGCTGACAAAGAAAGAGATCCTAGAAACCCTGCTCTGTTCCAAAAGCTTTGCTTGGATGGATGTCACTGAGAGTGGGTGAGTCAGAAAGGCCCCAGTGATACTAGACTTGGGGTCTGGGACAAGTATACCCTTGGTGGCCCCGGTTTATACTGCATTCTCAGGGTACTTGGCTGCCTGCCACAGCCATAGTTTGCTTCCTAGGCCAGTGTGACATTTCTGTCCTCTGCTGTCATGTATTGATGCAGTCTTTACCCTGTTAGAGGGATTAGAACTTGTATTTATCTTTTGGTTGGAAGAGCATGTTTCTTAAGGCAATTTTGAAATATTCAGAGTCATAAGCAGCAGAAAGGAGCTAAGAAACCAACTCAAAGGATCCAGGCATCCCCCCCATCACTAGTGAGTTAACTGGAGTATCTAAGGTGATTTTACAAATTAGCTATTAGTTGTGATCGGAGTGTCGAACAACCACATACAGAACGGTCTGATGGTAAATTTTCTGTGGTTTGAAGCCACTAATTTTGTAACTTGCTACAGCAGCCGTGGAAAACAAACACAGCATGCGTGAGCACACTACTCCAGATCCACATACTAAAACAAGGATGAGTAACTATAGTTCTGTTTATTTGTATGAAAGTGAGTTAATAAACCACCGATGAACCAAACATTTGAGACTTGCAAGGAATCAAAGTGTCCAAACGCGGTGATAAGTATGTCTTAGACGCGCATCTTCTTTTCTGTCATCAAAGAGAAAAAAAAAATGGTGTTTGGAATGGAAGCAAAGGCTTCTTTCTTAAGTGGGTCAAGTTGCAAGAACGGCTTTTGGAGAAAGAGTGCTGTCACTGAGTGTTGAGTTGGATCAGTGTGCTGAGGCCGGTACCTGTCAACCCTTTCAGTGTGCTTTTAATGCGGTGTAAGGTCACAGCCTAAGGTTCAGCACTCGCAGAAGGGCATTTATCTCCAGGAGCACCGCACTTCTACGTTGCTAGGCATGGCCTGGACTAAATTCTCACCTATTATGGTACTCTCATTCCACTGCAGTAAGGATCAGTCCCGGTCCTGACTTTGGTTTTTTGGTTTCTAGGTTTTTGGGGTTTTTTTTTTGATTTTGGTTTTTGGGTTTTTTTTGGTTTTTAACATACTTGAGAGGTTTAGCTAAAAAACACTCTCTTTAAGAGAAGTTTCACGTAATCTGTTTCGGCCTCAGGAGTTTCCGATTCAGGAAAAGAAATGTTTGATTATTGGCCCTGTATATTTACGTATGTACCTATAAATAAATAGGTATTTATTTATATTTTAGGTATTTATTTA